CACTGTGATCTCATTGAAGAAAACAATTACATTTGTTGAATACTACTTTATCGCATTATAATCCCCCCACGAACTAAGAGTTTTGTGTGTGTGTTGGTGTGAGTGTGGTCAGTGGATAACGCTCTGCTGTATCCGTTTTCACCTTGCGCGCACTCAGGTACTCTTCACCGGATACAATATTGTGATGACTAGGGGTGCAAGGTAAGTATGGGGGAGGCATGAAGTAGGCCTCCTTGAAGACCAACCACAAGGTATATGAAGAATCATAATTGTCTCCTCTGTAAGATCGGTATCTGCGGTTAATGCTCAGGAAATACAGGATCAATAAAATAAAAACAACAAAAGGATGACCAAAAAAGAGCCTTTATGTTATGAATGTGACTATTTCACACCCTCATGTTCTTCACCTGCATCACTCCCCATGTCATTCATGCACTACTCCCACACCTTTGTTGTACTGCAACCTCAAGCTGCAGCACAACATGCTGATATACTCATGTATTTATGTCATTACAGGACTACTACAGTATGATACTACACTGTCTTTACTGTGACACTTGTATATCAGATGCCTCTGGTATGACTACTGGCCCTATACCACACTGTCTTTACTTATTATTAGCATACACTCTTTTGTATATAAGGTAGCACCACTGTGGCCTTAAGCCCCAGCTTCAGACTAAAGTTTATTCTCCCAATACTCTTCTGACTGAACTCTCAGTATTGCCTGACTCGATTGAGACACTTCCTGCTCTCTTCAGACCTCCTCTTGTGCTGATTGCTTGAATGCAAAGCACAGCCTTGAGTTTTGGTTTGTTTGTAGTAGTTGGTTGCTAACAATTAGTCTGAAGCTGAACCTGCCCTTCTCCTGACAACAGTCAGAAGTACCACATGAACATCCTCCTACTAATACTCACTATCCTTCTCTTTTCTGTGGCGGTTCTACTGTTCATGTTCTATGTCTCCTATGTCTACCAATGGGAGATCATCCACTGGTGCTGCCAACAGACAGCCAGTTGGTTCGGTCCCTGTCCCTGCATTCTCCAACCCTGCTGGCCTCATTCATATGTCATCCTATACCGGTATGAACTCCAGTCGACATGATACACATTTGACATACTCGAGTGGGTTGAAATGGCCTGCTTCCCAAGTATCAAGGAAGTCTGACTTCCTCTTCCGAATGTGCCAATTGAAGAACAAGATATTAGTGCCAAAGGAGGAATCATCCTCTGAGGGCTTGAGAGTGCCCAAACACCCAAGATTGAGGTTGCCAATGACCTCAACAATGACTTGTCCTCATCCGATGACAAATGATGAGCTCTGGAAGGAGTGGAGCCTTTTGGCCTCCCAGGAGATCCATGGCAATGTGGATCACATGGTGGATAGGCTGATAGCCTGATTATTATCTCCTCAGACTCTAAGTCTGAACCTGAGTGGAGAGTCTCTCCCCTATGATCAGGAGTGGCCCACACTCCCATTCCCATCTGAGCACCCATGCTTGAATACCCTGACCCTACTCCGAGGGTCACCCCCATGGTCTCTGACCACTCCACATATGGCTCCAGATGAGCCACACCCATCTCCTGTGGACCAGATCTGTGATGACTACTGGAGGACAACACTCCTTCACCACCCTATTTCCTGCCTCATCATGGTGGCAGTGCAGATTCCACTGCCCCTCTCATCTTCAATGATATTCTTGGGAGGATCCATCAGCAGTTGGAGGCACACCATGCATAGAGTAGAGAGAGGAGGGTCATACATTGGCTGGAGGCCTGCTCCCACCATGAGGCCTTCCTTGCCTATGACTTCTGGGGCCAACCAGCCCCAGTCCACACCCTCAGTCCTAAGGAGTTCCCACTCTGTCCCCAGACTGATCAAGACCCTGGTCCAATGATCTCCAAGTGCTCATGCACTCTGACACCCAGTCCCTCAACCACCTTCAGAGGCATCAAGATATTCTCGACACAGCAAGGGGAAGGCACCTGCCTGAGCATCTCCTTCCTCTTGCACCCTTCGGAGGTCCACTACACCCATGACCTCCATGACCAGCACTGACTCCACACTCACTGAGATGTCGAGCAAGCATGCCACATGGCTCACTGAAGAGTATCAGAGGATATAGGAGGAGGTGGCAGTGATGCTAACTGATTCAATCAGTTGGCACAAGGGAGAACTGGGTCACCGCTGAGCAATGACCCTATGGAGCAAAGAGTGAGAGGACATTTTCTTGTATAGTGTGCAGGCAACTGCAATATTTAATTTCAACTCCCTTTACCTCTATCACCCCTATTTAGTGCCAGAACTATACCAATACAAATAGTATGGTCCCATACATGCTGCAGAGGCACCTTGGCCTGAGATGCCAAACCACTCTTGACAGAACAGCTTTCAACTATTGGCAGCTGCCGATTCATTAGCTGATCCATGGGCCAACATTGTCCCACCAGCACCACCAGTGGACATTGGAAATGCTGAGCTGCCTCTAGTGGATCCAGTATATTTACCACTGTCACCACCCTCATCAAGCAGCCTGAGTGGGGGTTTGGCAACAACTGCTGCTGGACAAAAAAGTCTTTGGTCTCTACCTCAGGGACCAAACAAGTGGTGACCATCGACACCACCTCAATGGCTGACTGGACGGATGGGGAACAAGGCCCCCTGGACCCAAATGAGGGTCAAATTCATGAGAGAACCTGCCCCCTTCAAGGGGCACTATAAGGATCTGGTCCGATTCCTGGTCCAGTGCAATCTGTACTTCCAAATACATATCACTGCTCTCTTTCTGGACTCGCATAAAATAGCCTTTGCGATGTCCTTATTTGAGGAAAAGGCACTGGACTGGTGGGTCCTTAAAGCATAAGAATATTAGTCAGCATCCACTGGCCATCATCACTTCCCCACATGAACCAAATTCGTGGAGGAGCTCTAGGTCAAATTCTCTGACCTGGCCATCAAAGAAGTACATCTAGTCAAGATGTACAAAGTCAAGCAAGATACTCAGACTGCCACTGAGTATTTCGTCGAACTCAAAAAAGAGATGAAGCTTGCCAGTGAAACCACTGATAAGAGCAACAAGGGAAATCTTGTTTGTGCACTAAAGTCTGACATCATTTGCCAGCATATCGATATGATCAGCATGATCAGCAAATTCATGCTGACCAACTATGACGAATGGAAGAAACGCATCCTTATTATGGATGCTGAATGCCAGTGCTGGGCTCAAGAAGTCACCCATAGCTCTGGACCATTCAACTGACCAACTGCCAAGAAGACAAAGGCAGCTGGTCCATCTGCCAGATTCTCAGGATCCAAACCTGCTGGCTTGACAAGCTCAAGCAGCAACTCCACCAGTGACAAGAAGACCACCACCAGTACCATGTTCAGTGGCCAGAGAAAACCCATGGACATTGACAAGTTGAAGAAAGAGGGGAAGTGCTTTGGCTGTGGAGAGAAAGGCTATCTCCACAAGGATTGCCCCAAGTGATCCAAGCCAAAGTGGAGTACCACCAATATCTGGCAGCTGCTCAAGTTGATCATGGAGACAGAAGAAGGAGAATCAAAGTCTGCCGAGGAAAAGGAACCTATGGCAGCTACCTCCAAAATCGAGGAGGTAAAAGAACCTGTGGGAAAGTAGCTGGCTCAGCTTCTCCACAGAAGGGTAAGTCTGGACTCAGTGGACAAATAGCTACAAAGGATATTGTCTCTATATTTACTAATAAATATGTATTGTTAGCTCTCACCAAGACTATGACTGAAGAGCCAAAAACTCAAGTGCCCCTCAAGAGGGCCGAACAGGGTGAGAGACACCCCAAGGTAACTGTCGAAGAGGTTCCTGATGAGAAAGATGACACCTCCTTCCTCTGGAGCCATGCAGAGCCTCTCAAAGCCAAACTGATAGTCCTACCAGCCAAGCTCAGAGAAGAGCACCTGGCTCTCCCGACCAAAGTCCATGAAGCACTCGTGCAGCTGGAAAACCCAATGGTTAACAAGACCAGATAGATCAAACCCTGGACAGCCAAGTGGACTCTATGATCCATTCATGAAGCACCCACCCTTGAGGAAAAAATGGTGAAACTCAAGATGTGGACTCATCCATATCACCAAATCGAAGTGGATGAAGAGACTACTCTACTCTTCACCTAGCCTCCCGAATCCTCTGACTGTCTTGATTTACAGTTGGAATGGTTACACGAGCTCAAATGTGCTTCCCATCAAATCTGCAGATGACTTGGTCAAACTATGAATGTCAAGTGTCAGCTTGAGACACTAGACACTTGGGAGACATTTGCAGTCTTGGCCCTCCTCGACTCGGGCTGTATCACTAGCACCATCAATAAGCACTTCATGAACCAACACAGCTTGAACACTCAAAAGGCAGCCATTCTGTCCCACATCTACAATGTGGATGGAACATGGAACAAGAACAGGGATATAACCGACTATGTCGAGGTCTGACTCAAAATCAGCGAGTATGAGAAATGAATCGAGCTCACCATAACTGACCTCAGCATAGCCGAAATGTTCCTGGAGTACAATTGGCTTAAGTGCCATAATCCCATCATCAACTGGCAGGAGGAAACAATGGCACTAGTCCAGTGCCCCTGCCAAAAGATGCCATTCCATTTGCCAGACAACAATCTGGAGGAGCCATGGGAAACAGATCTGGAGGAGGAGGACAGAATACTTTTTGTGGACATAAAAGAAACAATCCATATTTATGTCATGGGTAGCAAGGCCAATGAATTAGCTGCCAAGGCTAACTCAGCAAAGAGGGACAAGACCTTTGATGATCTCATCCTGGAGCAGTACCAAGGATACCATGATGTTTTTGCTAAAGAAAACTTTGACGAACTTCTCCCAAGGAAGCTGTGGGACCATGCTATCGAACTGGTCTCAAATGCAAAAGCTAGCCTAGACTGCAAAGTCTACCAGCTTAGCCTAGCTGAGCAAGAGGAACTCGACAAATTCCTTGATGAAAATCTGGCCTCCAGCCAGATCCAACCCTCAAAATCACCTATGGTGTCACCCTTCTTTTTTGTCAAAAAGAAGAATGGAAAACTTCACCCAGTACAAGATTACTGGAAACTCAATGAGATAATGGTCAAGAACCATTATCTGCTCCCACTAATCACTGACCTGATGGACAAACTCCAGGGGGCAAAATACTTCACCAAGCTGGATGTCCGATGGGGCTACAACAATGTCCAGATCAAAGAAGGAGATGAGTGGAAGGCCATGTTCCAAACCAACTGCAGCCTGTTCAAACCACTCATCATGTTCTTTGGACTGACAAACTCCCCAGCAACATTCCAGTGGATGATGAATGACATCTTTAAAGACCTCATCGCCTGAGGTAAGGTAACTATTTACCTTGACAACATTCTCATCTTCACCAAAGACTTGGCAGAGCACTGCAAGATTGTCCAAGAAGTCTTGCAAATTCTACAGGAGCAGAACCTTTTTCTTAAACCAGAAAAGTGTGAGTTTGAGGTACTCAAAATCGAGTACCTTGGAGTGATCATCAGCAAGAGGGCAGTCCAAATGGATTCAGTCAAAGTTGCCGGCATCATGGATTGGCTGGCACCATCAAAGAAATCTGAACTCCAGTTATTTTTGGAGTTCACAAACTTCTATCGCTGCTTTATACATGACTATAGCAAAATTGTGTGACCAATGACCACACTCATGAGAAAGAAACCATGGAGCTGGGGACTGGCTCAGTTGATGGCATTCAATGCCATTAAAGAAAATGTTCAAGATGGTGCTGTCTTTGCCATTCTAAACAATGACAATCAATTCCATATGGAAGCAGATTCTAGTGAGGGGGCAATTGGTGCTGTTCTGTCTCAAAAATAGGACAACAAGTGGCACCCACTCACATTTTTGTCAAAAGCGCTCTTGACAACTGAGCGAAATTATGAAATCTATGACAAAGAACTCCTTGCTATTATGCTCATGCTGGAAGAATAGCAGCATTACCTTATGGGTGCCAAACTCGACTTTGAAATCTGGATGGATCACCAAAACCTCCAGTACTTCAAGAAGCCACAAAAACTCAACTGCAGACAAGCACAGTGGGTAACAGAACTTGTGGAGTACTAATTTACTCTGCACCACAAACTGGAGATGGCCAACAAGAAGGCTGATCTGCTCAGCTGAAGAGCTTATCATGGCATGGGAGCAGACAACAACAGAGACATTATCCTGCTCAAGCCGGAATTCTTTTGGGCAATGACATTGCCAATAAAAGAAGAAGTGCATCAGGATATTCAAAATATGCTGAAAGAGATGCACCTTTGGGACAAAGGTATCCAAGACTCACTCTATCACAAGCAAGGGATTTCAAAGCAAGACAGGCTGCTCATCTATGATGGCAGAGTCTATGTCTCCAAAGACTGTGCACTCTAAGGGCATATCATTTTGATGTCACATGATCATGTCATGGCTGGACACCCAGGAGTGGAGAAAATGAAGGAGCTCATCCTTTAGGAGTTCTGGTGGCTGAAGATGAAAGGGAAAGTCAAAGCCTATATCTGGGGCTGCTAAGATTGTTAAAGAAACAAAATGGACATCCAGAGACCCCATATGCCTCTACACCCAAATGAAGTCCCCACTCAACCATAGAAAATCATTTTGGTCGACATGATCATAGATCTACCCGAGTCAAGAAGGTATGATTCAATCCTTGTCATTGTTAATCACTTCTCCAAAGTGATCATTCTAGTAGCCATGAGCAAGGACTTGACTGCTGAAAGATGGACCCACATTCTTTGTGATGAAGTCTTTGTCAAACATGGTATAATACCGAGGAAGATTATCTCAGACTGAGGCCCACAGTTTGTGTCAGGCTTCATAAAAGAATTATACAAGATGCTGGATATCAAAGGAAACCCATCCACAGCCTATCACCCACAGACCAACAGATAAACCAAATGGGTCAATCAAGAGGTTGAAAAATACCTCTGTCTTTTCATCAATTGGCATCAAAATGATTGGTCCGAATGGTTGGTGCTGGCTGTCTTTCAGCATAACAACCAGATACACTCCTCAATAGAGTACACACCTTTCAAAATTCTCACTGGCTGAAATGCCAAGATGCACCTAGTGCACACAAGTCAAAACTTCCAGCCTGTAATGGCCAACTTTTTATTAGACATGGACAATATTTACAAGATAGCTGAAAAGGCCTTATCTAAAGCATTGGAAGCAATAAAACGCACCTATGACAAGAAAAAGAGTGTGGCAGAACAATATGTCACTGGCGACAAGGTGTGGCTGGACACCACAAACCTCTCCCTCCCTTACCCAAAAAAGAAACTTGATGTCAAGTGAGTAGGGCCCTTCACCATCAAGGAGAAGGTCAGAGAGTTGGCATACCGACTTGGACTTTCACTCATGTGGAAGATCCATGACATCTTCAATAAGTCCCTTCTGACCTGTTACCATCCCTCCACATTCCCTAATCAGGAACAACTACTGCCACCACCACCTGACTTGGTTGATGACCAGTACAAACAGGAAGTCAAGTGCATACTCGACAACTGAATCATCTGATGGGGAAGAGGACCCACGAAGACAGAGTACCTCATCAAATAGTGTGGAATGCCAAATAAGGAGAATGAGTGGATACATGCTGAGGACCTGGAGCACTGCCAGGACCTCATCAGGGAGTATCTCAACAGAGATGAATAAATCCTCCATGCCCTCAAAGGGTACTTTAACAAGTGGGACTACAAACAATTTGTCCCATGCTGCTACACACTGTGATGACATCTCCAAGAGCCTAAAAAGCTCTACCAATAGAAGGATATCAACTCCAAGATTGGTGACTTCTTCTATGATCAAGAGGACCCTCTTGACCATGACCATGACCAGGGGGTCAATGTCAATCACAGTGCATAGCAGTCGGGATGACTGCCTTGATCAGGGGGTATTGTTATGAATGTGACCATTTCACACTCTCACATTCTTCACCCACATCATTCCTCATGTCATTCACACACTATTTCCATGCCTTTGTTGTACTGCAACCTCAAGCTGCAGCATAACACACCAATATACTCATGTATTTATGTCATTACAGGACTACTACAGTATGATACTATACTGTCTTTACTGTAACACTTGTATACCAGACACCTCTAGTATGACTACTAGCCCTATGCCACACTGTCTTTACTTATTATTAGCATACACTCTTTTGTATATAAGGTAGCACCACTGTGGCCTTAAGCCCCAGCTTTAGACTAAAGTTTATTCTCCTAATACTCTTCTGACTGAACTCTCAGCATCACCTGACTTGATTGAGATGCTTTCTGCTCTCTTCAGACCCCCTCTTGTACTGATTGCTTGAATGTGAAGCACAGCCTTGAGTTTTGGTTTGTTTGTAGTAGTTAGTCACTAACACTTTAGCCATAAAACCCTCGAGTTAGAGTGCTTGCACAGGGTCTGTGCATAATATATAACTCCATTTCCGACATAAAAAATCCAATGCTCAGACAAATTCCAACCAGCTTCAAAGGGGGAGCATGAAGCTACCATCAGCTTTGGAGTCACCATTTTTTAATATACCTCTCACTTACCTCAAAGCTGCTAGTAAATGGTGAGATGGTTTTCAGGAGGTCTGAAACTGCTAGCACTGGTCCTAAATCATCCCAGTTCATCACTCACAGAGACCTTCTTATCATTCGAGAGGCAGATCATAAAGAGTGGTGAAGGGGTTGGCATCCTGCAGGTGAAGCATTATCATCACATTGTCATGATACATCCTTCCAGAATGCCTCATTGTACTTGGCTTTGATTGCTGTAGTATTCACTCCCCATGCTGCTGAGAGAGACTCATCACTCATGTAATCTGCTAGATCCAATGCTGTCAAAAACACCCACTATAAATATCAGAAAGGATTTCGCAGAGAAAAATCTTGTAAAGAATCACTGTGGGCAATGATTTAGTGGGTCTGAAAATATATATGAACCATAAAGTCAACTTTCCTCTATGA